AAAGAGAGAATGAGGAGATGCAGGTGCCAGGGTGAGTGTGCTGCGATGGGTCTCTCGGGGCAAATAGGCCGAGCCTGGGGGCATGGGGAGGGCGGGAGTGGGGGACGTCCAGGGCTGGTACCTGCAGAAAGGCGGCCAGGACGGCCAGGCCCCCTGGGCGCCCCAAGGCCTCCTCGACTTTGGCAAATGCAGTGCTGAGGTGAACCACGTGGATCTGGAGAGGACAGGTGGGTAGGAATGGGCGAGATCCCCTCGCCAGCGCCCCGCTTCGCCCCGCTGCAGACAGCTGCACGCTCACCTCGGCAGGGAAACGGTGGCCGCCAACCGTGTGCTCCGAGCCGGGGCGACCCGCAGACCCCCAGTGCAGGTGCAACTGCAGGGCCCGGTACTCCCGCCCGGGACCCAGGGCCATCTCCAGCCCGGGAGGCAGAGTCAGCTGCACGGTGTGGCCATTGTTTCGGAGGCGCAGTTCAGGGAGAGGCGGGAGCTCAAAGCCCTGGAGTTCCAGGGGTCCCAGGGCAGGGCAAAAAGCCGTGTGCTCCGGGCGGATGTCCACCCGGGACTGGAAGCAGCCGGCGCAGGTTGGGGACACCTGGGGCCAGGGCGGGTCACCTCCATAGCGCCAATGACTGTGGTCATCCCCTTTGTTGTTCCCGTGAGTGGCCCTGGGAGCCGCAGTGGGTAGATCCTCTATCTTCGGGGTGTCCTCTTCTGCTTCAGTCTTCATTCCGGGCGTGTCCTCCTCTCCAGGCAGATCCTCTTCACTGGGCAGGTCCTCCTCGCCCAGTGGATCATCTTCCTCAGATGAATCTCCTCCCATGGAGGGAGTCCCCTGCATCCGGGATAGGCGCTGCCCCACTCGGCTGTACTCCGACGGACCTCCTGAATTTTCAATTTTTGTGTGACCCGAAATGCATCAACATGTTGGTGAAGAACTCTGTGGTTTTCAGATAAGAACTCTGCTGCAAGAGCCAGAGAGGGGATTTTAAGTGGCTTGTTCTTGAACCACATTCTACAGAAAATACATTTTTATTTGCCAGAACAATCCCTAAGAGTCTCGGCCCCATTTCCTCATCTCGAAAACGAGCTACCTGGAGGCCAGAAGAGGGCACGTGGCCACTGAGGCTGCCACTAACTGTGGTGAGGATTCAGGCCTTTTTTGGCCTCAGAAATAACATCTGGATGGTCTGGACCTCCACCTGGACCTCCAAACCTTGTTATTCTCAAAGACCCTTTCTTAGATCTTGAAATTTCCATCTCATAGTTTTTCAATATCCAGTTACTGCCTAAGAATGCTGGGCAGGGATAAATCAGACAGGATAGTCAAAAGATCTGTTATCATGAGCAGCTTTTATCATGACAGCCAGCTAGTACTGTCCTGTCTAAAACCACCTGTTTCAAACAGGACAACAGAAAGGTGCTTTGTCCATGGTAACAGGAACTTATTTGTTCAGTTGGTCTGGTAAACAAATATTTACCATTGAGTTTCTGTCTCCTGAGGAACACTTATTAAAATCTAACAAAATTTTAAAGTTATTCGTGGCACAAATGCCCCATGTAAATGTACACACTATCATCCCATTAAAACTCTTGCCCAGTTGGCCTGGCTCAGTGGTTGAGCATTGACCGATGAACCAGGAGGTCACGGTTCAATTCTTGGTCAGGGCGCATGCCCAAGTTGTGGGCTCGATCCCCAGTGTGGGGTGTGCAGGAAGAAGTCGATCAGTGATTCTCTCTCATCATTGGTATTTCTATTTCTCTCTCCCTCTCTGAAATCAGTAAAAATATATTTAAAAACAAACAAAAACACAAAAAACTCTTCAAAGAAAAGATGTTCTCCCCAAATTAACCTAAAGCCTGGAAGCACCATCTTTTGTTTCCCTACTGAATTTGAGAAAAGTTAATAGCAGACTAAAGTTAAAAGCAAACCAAATTGAGGAAAGTTAATAACAGAATGGAAATATTTTTTTTAAGCACTTGTAAAGCTTTGGAGTATGGAGATTTCTGAGAAAATGTTATGAAAATAATTTCTCAAAACAGCTATTTGAGGAAATTTCCATCTTTAAGACCTTACGAAGCACTTGAAGAACCTTATCACTCCAGAATTCTACTAAAAATCATTAGTTAGGATATAGCCACATGTTTCACAAAGCATGTTAATCACACAGAGATATTCTGGCCATTCATAGTTCTATTTTTTTTAATGGCCCATGTACACCCGGAATAAATAGTCTTGGGAAATGTGTCAGCCAGTATTTGTTCACACATCTTGTTTCTCATGGCTTGAAACCCACAAGACTGGTATGTGGATACAGTTCTGCTGGTGACACAGCACAGTTAGTGGAAAAATACCAGACTGTACATGATTCCTGTGGCCTCTGTCATTTAACTCGCTGTGTCTATTTGGTCAAGCTACTTATGTATTCTGTCCTTCACCTGTAAAATGAAGGCATCAGAATGGATTATCTCAAAGCCTTTTAGGAATCTTAAAAATTAATTATTGTTCAACTCTCTGACCCTCTTTAGGTCCTTTGCCATTGGCTCTGAGAGCCTTGTGGGGGTGTGAGAGAAGCACCTGGCTTCCCCAAACTCACCAACTAGTATATGCTTAGGCAATGATAGTTAGGATGGATTTAGGCAAATGTGTTCAGGGGTGTCTTCTGTGCCAACCAGAACACTAAGCTTACATTTCTCATAATTTTGCTATCTTGCAGGATCTGCTGGGATTTAGAACACCCCGTATTTCTGCCAACAGAACTCATGTTCACATATTAACCTACCAGAAACATATCCCAGACAATATGTTGGCCAATCCAAACCAGCAAAACTGGAGCCAGACCCAGACCTTCTCACTCCAATGCCATGTTTCTTCTTTTATTATCTCACCAGCTGGTTGTGTGACCTTCGGTGTTACACTTTTAAAAATTCCTTAGGCTTCAGTTTCTTCATCTCTAAAATTAGAATACAACCCAGGTGATTACTAAGGCAGTTTAGTTTTAACATTGCACACTAGAAAGTGAGGTTATCTGGTTTCATATATAATTTGAGGAATAGAAATAAAGAAGCCATGGAAAGCCATGGATAGTAGAAACATACAGACCATACTCACATTTTGATAAGGCTTAAGAGTTCTTTTTCATTTGGGCTCAAACTTTACATGCCAGAAAGCACTGTAGTTTTGTATTCATCAGGGATGTCATAGAAATTTCAGCTTTATCATGACCTGAAGAGGCCAGACCAGTTTTCAGTGTGGGCTTGAATTCCACTGGTTTTGTGGACTTATCAGAAACTAGAGGCTCAGTGCACGAAATCATGCATGGGTAGGGTCCCTAGGCCTGGCTGGTGATCCGGGTTGAC